AAGAACGCAGTCTCCATACAAATACCACTTTCTCCCTTTCCTGGCTTTCTCAGAAGGGTGGAAACAGATATTTGCAGTTTTCCCCAAAGATTTCAAGTGACTGCAGCAAATACTCATTTTTCTTCTTGTCCTTCTTACATTTTTGAGTGTAGTGAAGACAAGGACTCTAAAAGTTAAAATTTTATGAGGTAGTGTAAACATTCAAGTATTACGGGATCAAATTTATTTTTGGACTCTACCAGTAGTTCTTTGTCCATGACCCATACAGACCAGCTTATCTGCAGTTGCCTATAGTCACATTTTCCTGCTTCCAGTTCACACAACTAAAACTCTGCTGAGTACTTCCCTGGCAACCCTCCTTCACATAACCAGCTGCTGCAGTGCTGACCACTTTTATGTGACAACTGTAGGATTACAGCACAGGAGATACAGTTGTGTGCCTACGGCCTACTACAATGAGGTAAAGTTGTCAGTGTTCACTTAGGAAATGTTGATGGATACATATAATCCTTGTGAATACAAAGAATATCTCTGAAGACACAACTCAAGTGTCACTCATGAATATAGTGACCTCCTGAGGAGGTGGGAAGGTAGCTTCAGATGGTACTAGCTGTCCCTTTCATTGTAACTGGCACCCTCTACTATGTTAAAGGAAAGGCTGGAATAGGTATGCATAATGGCCATAATGTGGGAGGATGCAGGAAGAAACACTGCAGATTCCATACAGGACCCAGAATGACATCATTTTTGTTCTGCAGACACTATAAGTACAGCATGGACATGTTGTGAAAGAGACTTTGCTTGCAGGCTGCTGAGGCAGAATTGCTGGATTGAGGGCTGGTAGTGGGAGAAATAGCTGGAATAATATGAAACCCTAAAGTGTAGTAACAGGATGTATTTCCTAATGTAAAAATTTTATGATGGCAGTTTCTCGGAGCAGGATGAAATCCCAGCTGAATTGCAATTGGCATTTTGTTATAGCAGCCCATCCTGAATTTCTCATAAACTAAGACAGGGTTGTTTTGGTTGAGGGTGAACAGTCCCCCGAAGGGAAGAATCGCACTAACGCACTTCTAGCTCTAAATCAGAGACAATTGCCTGTTGTCCTTCTTTAAGTGGAATTTTATTCTAATAGCAGTCAATCCTTCTGACTTCCAATTTTTTCCCTCCAGATAATTTTAAAGAAGCATGTGTACTCAAAGCTAATAAAAAATTTTACTGAAACAGTTTTTATAAAGAAGCACATTTCTATCTGGTATTTCTTCTCCCCTCCCCATTATATCTTTTACTTTGAAGAAACTTGCTTTTAAAGAGAGGAGAAATCTTTTGGAAAACATTTAAATGTCTTATCAAACAGCTGCAGAATGAAGTGTTTTGGGTTTTACTGGTATTTAAAATGTCTTTACATAAATTAATGTAATGGAAACATTTATAATTTATTTGCATGTTTTGATTGTGAGCTTGCATTACAAAAATTATGATTAATTGAAAAAATCACAATAAGCTGCCTTTTTCTTCCAGCTTGGAATTTAAATATTTTGTTTTCCAGTCACCACTATGTACCCTTCCTTTAGAAAGAGAAAATGTGGAAATGGGAGGGCATGACTGCTAAACTGTTTGGGATACCTCTTTAAATTTATTTCTTTTCCCATAGTTTCCATCACTTGTGATTACATTTGGGTTTGTTGCGATTTAGAGCAAAGGCCGTTCTTGATCATGGCAGCTCACTATATTACACCAACAGCAGCAAAATGTTGACTATCACAAAATCAGACCAAAGCCCACAGTACTTACCCGTGGTTTTGTCTGCCTGCTGCTCTGTGCACTCCCACCAGCCTGGCCCTTGGAGATTACTATAATTTTGCCAGTCCTTCCACATTCAGACTGAGTCATTTGCAGCCGCCCCAGTGGGTTTACCACCGGGAGTTTTCTGGGGGCTCTGCACTCTCTCATGCAAACAAGCACACAGCAAAAGTTTGTGCGTGACCTAGAAAAACTACCTCAAAGCTGCGCAGGCAAATACGTAAAGCAGAAGCTGGAGCTGAGACTAATTCATCTGGTGCGGTGACTCCAAACGTCAATTAGCTGGGAATAAATTTTAATCCCTGCTTGAACCAGGCAGGATTTAATTTGGTATCAAGAGGTGACAGGCTGTATCGTTCATTTGCCACACTTTCTGTTCTGGGAAGAGGCTTATTATATTAAGGCCTAATCTTTTTGGATTTTGCACAGACCCAGTCAACCTTGTTTCTGGGAATACAAGTGAAGCTGCCTAGGACAAAGGGTGCTCAATGTTATTTCTTCATTTTTGTTGGGTGCCACCCTTGTCAGTAGCATCTATCTGCACCCTAGCTTGTGTATTGTTTTGAGGTAGTCAGCCTTCCACCACTGGAGTGCATGCTGCAGTCTGAGAAGCACAGTCTCAGTAAAGGATGGAGGCTGCCACAGTTTATCCTTAAAGGGCTGGATGCTGCTAGTCAAAGCAACAAATATGCACCAATAAAAGGCATATTAAAGCAAATTTTAACTTAAGTCATATGTTAATTAAATATACATAGAGAAGCAAATTATTCTAGAAGCATCTGATAGGACTTCTCCTCAGTCTGAGCAAGAGGCCTTACTGGCCTGTCAGTCCTGGTTTCAATGCTGTCCAGATCACTTTTAGACTCTCTTTTTCTGCAGAATAGTAGTAGGGGAATAGTAGTTACTGTGCAATTGAATGTAATGTCTTGGGTTGTGAAGGGCAGAAAAATATTAACCACAGTTGGCAGAACAGCTGGGACTTGAACAATTAGCCTTTGGTCACATAGATAAAACTCTTTCCCTCCAAGCTGTAAGCCATTTTGAGGGGGATTAGTTCCTCATTCGCATTTTGCTTTGCAAAAATTGTGTGAAAGTTGCAAGATTATATATAGTGACAAAACAGCCTGTAGCAGTGATCAGAATTACGTTACCTGTGATTAATAAAAAATGACAACACTGCCTGAATGTGGCCTATTTCAGCATGAGGAATCCAGAAATTGCAAACACAAAGTCTAATCTCCATCCCTCTGATATTTATGGTGAAGGAGTCATCACTTTAGCTAATGTAAGAACAGGCTACTTGGAGAACTAGCGTACAAGCTACACGTTAATCTTCTGCTGTACTTTAGCCGCTAGATGTTTGAAATGCTGTAAAATCCAACAGTTCATGGCCTCACTGCATAGCTATGTAAGACAGCGGTGGGGAAAATCCCAAGCACTTCAGCTGCAGAGGCAACAGGCCCGCCACCTACAGTCCCCTCAGGGTACCTGTGCTAGGCTGCTCACACTTGACAAAATCTCTGTGAAATAACAAATAGTATTTGTTTCGAGACTTTGTGGGAGATGTTTTCTTTTCCTTTGAGTATTGTCGAATATAGCAGGGCCAGAGGAGGCAACTGTGAATACAATTTGTGGGGTATGGGCCCAAGCTAAGTGACCTGGAGGAGCTTTTGCATTATCCCCTGCACACAGAGAGAGTTATACGAGGTGTACTAGGGTAAAAGTAAAATCTTGCGTGCGTGGCTCTGGATGGTTTCTGGGAGTGTACAGTAGTCTGCAGATCATATGGGATGATCTGGATGGTCTTCTGGAAGTTGGAGTAATTGAAAATTTGCCCTCATTTTATTCGAGGCTTAATTTTTAAACTCCAAAATGGCCTATGCTCTGTAGGGCAAAAAAATAAAAGCAACTATTAGCCATACAAATTCCTGTATCATTTTGTTTTTCTGTTTTTATCCTCTCCAACAAGTACAGCATGGCATCATGTATCTTAGTTGGCTTCTTCTGAAATCAGGCACCTTCAGCGACTCGATGCCCCTTTCTCACAGCACTGAGGAAGTGATTCATTACCGACTGGGAGAGAGGACACTGTGCAATGGGTATCTGTTATAACTTGATTTCTTTGTGCTGGTTTATTTGCAATTTTTCTAAATAAGAAACATTCCTGTGGAGTGGGAGTGGTGTCAGTTTTGTGATCAGATGCAGCCTGCAGCAAAATAAGCATGGAAACGGTAAGGAAGACCTTATGTTTACTCTCTGAAGCTTTTAGTTCAGTGTAAGGTAAAGGTCATTCTGGAGAACCATGTCAAGATTTCTAGTGAGGGTGGCAGACATCTAACATAACCAGAGAACCAGGAGGTTTAAAAAGGAGTTAAAACTACAAGGGGGGGAAAAATTCTAGAAGTATTTTTAGAAATCTGAGTTTAATATTTGAACATAAGGACAATCTGAACTGGGCAGTACACACACTGCAGAAAGCTTAGAGTGTAAAATTATCTGTCCTGTTACTGTTTAGCAATGCAGCAGGACAAACCCAGCCTTCTCCCCTCCCTTGTGTTTTGCAACCTCCTTGGTAAAGTGAGATGATACTTAGCAGACACTTACATACTAGATTAAAAGAAAAATAGAATAACATATAGCTGAAAGAGCAAGCCTTAACAGATACAAGTGATAATACCAATTTCTGAATCATTTCCTGAAACCTCATTTTCCTTTGAGGTGTCTCATTCCTACTGAAATTGGAAGAACTCAAATGAAAGTTATTACGGAGGTCACTGTAATCGGGAAGTGTAAATTCAAAAAGAGCCCTTTAAACATTGAAAGGAGACTGTAAAAAGTGCTTTTCATCACATATCCTCCCAACGCTCCTCATTGCCCAATTCAGAATGATGTGCATTTTCTTCTTTGGTAGTCAAGGTTTTAGAGTTTGTGTACTGTCTGGTACACAAAGTATGAGGGCAAGCGAAGCTCTGATTCTGAAGCTGTTGGCTTCTTATCTGGTAGGCAGATATGCAGGATCAAAAATCTTCTGTGTTTGGAGCACTAAATGGATGAGAACTGGAGATACAGCATCATTTTCTTCTACTGGACAGAAGATTTGGTGGAAAGTTGCCCTTGATCTTCAGCCTACATCAAATCAGTAGTTCAAGAGTCTCTTGTTCTAATTATATCAAAAGAGCACCACCATGACATGCTAGTTGCTACTCTTTCTCACTATGCAAAGGTAAAAGGTAAAATGACAAAGCAGGGTGCCCTTTGGGGGGGCAGTGGCTTGTCTGGGAGCGTTGGCTGAACTGTGACTGATGTTTACTTCTTTTTTAAATGCAGAAGTAAGCATGATCTGCCTCACTAGCTGGTGTAAAGGCCTTCCACGAGAAAAGTGGATAAAGAACATGTAAGAATTCGGCTTGGCACTTCCAGAGGATGCCTCTGACGTTTGAAACTGGATAATGCAGTTCAGAAAGGGCGTTTACAAGCTGATCATGATACAGCTCTCATCAGCTTGGGTCAGGCCTGCATTTCCCACCTTGTAGATGTTTATTTATTTATAATCTGACAACTTTGAAAAGCCTATAATGGTATGGTAGTATTTCTGAATAAGCAGATAATGACAAATTTTACTATTGTTTTTACTTCATATTTAAGATGAGCTCCTAAAAATCAAACTTGCTTTTAGGGTCTGCTGGAAAAACCAGGCTTGTGTCAGGCAGTCATTTCCCAATGCAATGGGCACTTTGCACCCTGGCTGCTGGGGTTTACCCTTCTCTCCCCAGCAGGAAACTAAACTATTTCAAGTGTTAGTGAAAAATTTTTTCCAGAAGAGCCAAAGCAACTGAGCTTCCCCAGCAAGCTGCTAGGTCAACTTTGGGCGCTCTGTCCTCCATTGGTACCTCTTATTGCTCTCAGGTGCCAGGGCTTTTGCACCTATGCCTCTTCACAACTCACCGGTTCCAACTGATCCTGCCAGTGTTTTGAGGGTGGTGTTACTTAACTTTTAAATTAGGATGGGGGAGGGAGGTGAGAAGGGTGAAAAGGCAATCAATTTAAGATTGCTTTCTTGAAATGAAGCTGTAAAAGTATTAACATTTGCATGCCAGTTCCGACATCTGGGCACAAGTGGCTCCAGGAACTTTTTGCCTGTATAGGAGATGACTTCTCCATGGCTTAGGACAGGTAGTGTGGCTTCACTGCCACTTCTAGGACTCTAGGAGTGTGTCTGGGTGCAGGATGGAACAGCTAAGACTATCAGGGCATGCCTGTCCTTGTCCTGGTGATGCTCTTACTTGCAACTTGATGCTGGAACAGTCTTAAGATAGCTCTAAAAGATGACTGACAAATGTGTGACATTTCTGGCTTAAGAAGAAATAATAAAACATTAGAAAACTACATATGCAGGCACTGAAAATGTGGACCATAGTGCCTGAATGTGTCATTAGGCAAATGGTATCAGTGTGTATGATTTCCATGCTTTTGTTTCCGTTTCAGATTTATAAGCATTGTAGTCAGTTATTCACCAAAGTTAATAAAAGGTGCTGGTAGCAGGCTTCAAGACTCAATTCTTGTATTCAAAGAAGATATTCAGCAGAGGTAGTGACAATGTTCACTTTCCCTTCATAAGTGCCTTTATGCTTAGTCGCCATCTCTTAGATGTTAAAGGGCAGTTCAGTCATGATGTTTGTTGAATCCTTGCCCTTTCTACTTAAATTGCCTACAGGGAAGGTGACTAATTCTGGCTTCCTGGGATGTAAGCAGGAAGGACTGTTTTTTAAGCACCTTTTTTTTTTTCCTCCAAAAATCTTATGATTTATAAAAATGTTTCTCATTTTACTGAAAACTTTCTCTACTACAGTAATTTCCTTATGCTGAAGCATAGATTGTCATGACCAAATACTCTTTGCTGTTTTTACAGAGGTGTTTTTATTAGGAATAGCTCCTAAGTGGGCCATGAGACTGTCTGCCTGGCACAGAGACAAGAAATGCTTACTTCCAACCTTGCACCCAGCATCCTCAATCACATAATGATGAAGAGTAGAGCTCCATCCCTCCAACATGCTGACTCATGTACCTCTGCTCAGCACATAAGTCAGGGGCATTTACGTCCTCCGTGAAGCATAAAAATACCTTATTTTATAGCTCACAGGCAACAATATTTCTCCTCCTGCAACTGGTCATGCACCTAGAACATTATCACATTCTTAGCAGTTAATTTTAGGAAGGAGAATAAATAGTGGGCTGCCAAGATTATCTGTATATTTAGCATCTTGATATACTTAGGTGTGTTCTTAATTGTTCATTCTTTGGCAATGGTAGATAAATGGCTTTTTTTTTTTTTCTTTGTGAAGTAACAAGACGTTCATTTGAGCAGCTTATTGCTCCTAAGAAAGTGACTGTAGAGAAAAATCACTCAATTCACAGAATCATAGAATGGTTTAGGTTAGAAGGGACCTTAAAAATCATGCATTGCCAAACCCCCTGCCATGGGCAGGGACACCTTCCACTAGACCAGGTTTCTCAAAGCCCTGTCCAACCTGCCTTGAACACTACCAGGGATGGTGAATATACAGCTTCTCTGGGCAACCTGTGCCAGATCACAGAAGGCTAGTCTGTTTCTGGCTGGCTTCCACTTTCTGTGGTGGGTTTATATGTTTTGCACAGTTAATCTGGGGCCAAGCAACCATTAAGCAGAAGGGATCTTCTTTATAGTAATTAATTTCTGCAATAGTCTTGTGCAAAGCACATTGTAGCAGGAGATATATACCAAACAGCAGGTTCCTATCCTGCAAACTGTAGGATTTTAGAGAACACACAAAAAAAAAAAAAAGATAAGAACACAGAATGTTGAGGGCTTGTATTAGCTGAAATCTTATGTGGGATCTTAGGTAAATAGAGCCCATTTCATTCACTGTAGTCTGTTTGGAGAAAAACTCAGGAAAGATCCAGGTCACCATTGCTCAACGTTTTTTACTAATAGTGCAAAGAGGATATTAGAAGATACCATTTAGATATAATAGCTTTTTTTATTTGCCGTGCACTGATTTAGCATTAATAAAAACAGATGTACTTCTTGTTTTCTGAAAGTAGCAGGAGCTGTGGTGTTTTCTTGTGTTCCTCTTTGGTGTTGCTTTCCTTCTATTTTCACATCCATAGCTCAATACAGATTTCACTGCCTCTCAGTGTTGAACCTTGAGCCAGCCTAAACAAAAGGAAGCGCGTTACCACAGTGAATATGAGGCAGAAACCACCTTTCCACTGAGGGAAATTTCAGGAAAACCAGCAAATCAAAGAGGGCACTGAGGCAGCAGTTCTGGGAGTATGGTCACCTTCTCCACAAGGACCTCTATGTTGTCTCATAGACCATCTGTCTAGCCTGGACCTGCCATGTTAATGTGGATCTGTGGCTTCCAGGGTGGAGCTAGGCTGCACTCCATCAGCTGGAAATATGGGTAGGCGTGCTGGGATTGGCCTAAATACCTATAGAAAGACTTATCCCAGATCCTCCTTATTCTGTTAGAGAGCTCCACTAGGGCTGTCAATAAGGAAATGGTCTCTCACCCCAACCCAGACACCACAGAGAACACCTGAAACCATAGACTGTCCCATTTTATGACTACCTGCTGCTCACAGTCTGATCATCTGGCAGGATCCCACCCAGCTTCTCTCCCTGAAGCCCCTCTAGCATTGCTGCAAGAGTTGCCTGGAGGACCAGGCTTACTCCCTGCAGGAAGAGGGACCACTAGACCACTCTTCACCTAGAGCTATCTTTAAACAGCCAGTGCTCAGCCTCTTATGCCGGATGAACCTTTTCCTTCTTTTTATCTACATTGTAGTATAACATGGATTATTAAAAAAAAAAAAAAAAAAAGCAAAAAAGCTTTATTTTGCTGCTTTGTGGCAATTTAATCTCCTCTTAACATATTTCTCACACCAGTAGTTCGTGATCAAGGGGTTGAAACCTTGTGTTTTGTTTTCAATATTCTGTGAGCAAAGGAGTAAGTATGACTGGTATTGAAATAGAGAGGAATCTGCTTTCTAAGATCGAAATAGTTTATCATCCTCTGCCCTTCTCAGTATGTTCTCATCTTTTGTCAGTTCTTTTATTAAGGGCTGCTGTGCATAACTGGTTGTTTGTTTACGGGCAGAAATGTAACTGTCAGGATGGTTAAGGGGTTCTGGTCTTATATACATTTTTGACCTATATTTAATACTGCCTCGTATTTCTTTTCTTACGTATCTAATTGCCATTCCCAGTTTGCACTGTCATTAATTCCCCATGCCATTTAACTGATGCTGTTATGAACTCATCGCAGCAGTGATTTAGAAGCTCTCCTACCTACCAGAAGTTTTGTGAATGAAATCAGAGATTTGTCCCCATCTGCAAGGCTTGGGGATTGCCCTGTTCTCAGTTGCATGAGAGAATTAGATTTTGACAAGCATCCAGAATAAAAGTGCCCCAGAAACTGCTGGCAGAAACAACAGTTAGCCTTTCAAAACTAGGGGAATAATATTTTTGGTGCTAGTCAGAAGACCTTATAAGAGGAGAGCTGGATGAGTTTTGGCCTCTGACTTGTCAGGTTTTGTCCTTCAGTTAACACCTCCACAGAAGGGCATTTCTCCAGAGCAAACTTGCTGATAGGGAGGAAAAAAGAAATTGCAGTATAAAGGAAGAAGAAAGGCTTAAAATGGAGAAAAACATCATCTTTTCCCTCTGAAACTTCCACCAAATCCTTTGATCTGTTTTTGGAGTTTTGATCTCTGTTGAGGAAGATGAAGCAGTATCCCTTACAAATGTTTGCAGAGGTGTCTGTGGTTTGGTTTGTTAATACCAGACAGCCAGATTCATTATCTGGTTTTGCTCCATCAAAATACTAGACCTGGAGAAAAGGGGAAAGACTAGCAGTCATTATGCTAATGAAGTTGATTAATGTGTGAAACCAAAGCTTAAAATCAAATGCATCCTGTCATTTTGGCCAAGCTGCCATAAAAAATCCTTTTCCTACTCTATGGCATGATGCTAAAAAATACTGTCAATTGCTTAGATTTCAGCTCAGGATTATGTTTTCATTCCTATTTGTGTGGTAGCTGTTAAACAATGTTATGAGATTTTACAAGGACCAAATCCTCCACGTGAGTGGCCCCACTGAGATGGATTTCAGCTCAGTAACACACAGGTAAATGCAGATTAGCTCCTTCAAAGGCAATGGAATAAGTCCAGATTATGGTGGTGTAACGAGGTCACTAACATTATTATGACTATTTTCAGGGGGTGGGAGAAGAAAAGGGCACGGGTGGGAGACAAGTTTAAGACATTTGCTTAAACTCTTCTGAGAGAGTCTGAAAGAAACTGTGTTCAGGTTATCAGAATGTGACAGTTCAGGAGGAATTAAAAAGTGACTGTGAAGGTTTTGAACCAAGAGTCAATGAATCAAAATTTCCAGACACCCCAACAGGGTGTTTGGTGAAGAGTGAAGCATCTCAGTACTATACACAGGTCTGTCGTCAGAGCAGTAATAGCATAATTGCACAGGGAAACAGGGTGACTGCTGTGAGCAAATGCACAAGTTGTATAGGAGAAACGGTATCCTTCCTAGGTGGGAAATGGTGACTTTAAAGTACTGTTCTTTTACTTTGCATTTTAAGTTATCTTACAACCAGTCTAGCATTTAGATCACAATATACTTGCTTGAGAAACCACTGCCTGGGAAAATAGCCAAGAGCTAAGAAATTAGTGAAGGGAGAAAACAGGTTTTGTAAATATTGAGCTTCAGAGAACGTATGCTCTAGCCTGATATTTTTACAGTTTTCTTGGGACCGATATTCACATCCTTAAAGCGATACACTTTTATGCTAACACCAGTTACCTCTTTTTGATGGGAAGTGAAAGTGTTTGCATCCCTGGTTCCTTTCACTTTATTTCCTCCTGTGCTCACTTCTCTCCCCATCCCAGTAACAGTTTATACCAACTGTTTTACAGCAGCCAGACTACTGAATTCAAGTTAAAAGTGACACTATTTATATAAATGGTGTCACATAAATAGTCCTTCTATTTTGTCGCTGCCTGCACCTTGAAAAAGAAAATGTAGGTTGGGTGGTTTGCAGTATTGTTTATTACTAAGCTATTCTCTAATTGTGGGGAAAACTGTATGGTTTGCTTTGCAATGAACAGAACTGTAGTCCACTAAATACCATTGAATTAAAACATTCTTGAAGGTTTTAGTTCAGCACCTTATTAGACTGCCAAGATGAATAGTTGTACACATGTTTTAAATAACAACATGTGCCGTTACAAGAGTAGAGCTTGGGCAGAAAAAATCCCCTTCTACTATATTGCGTAAAAATGACTCAGAAGGGTGTAGTGTCTTGTGAAGATGCAGCGCTCTTATTTCATGGAGCTTACACGGATGGCTGCAGAAGAATTCCATTTTGGATAGCAAGCATGTTTTTAGGAAGGAAGTTATAGGATAAAGTTTAGGGCTGCTAAGTAAGAATGTTTGTGTTGTTTGGTATCCTTTAATAAAAGAGTGGAAATAAACTGGAATAACATGGCTGATCTAATTTGAACTTACTGCCCGGAGATATTCATAGACCTTTCCTGTAATGTAAATCAAATCATGCTATAAATCAGGGACAACAAAAGGTAAATAAAAGGAGCCTAGGTGTCACAGTAGTGATTTGTGAAGTGTGTGAGCTCAAAGTTGCTTCTTAGAGAGAAATATCTGAAATAGTACCTCAACTGAAATAACTGAAAGTCTTTCTAAATCTGCGTAGCATTAAATTTTTTGCTTTCCCAAATTGTGGGGTTTATGCACCAAATTTGAACACATCCCAAAAGCTGAGCCAATTAAATATTCCTGGGGTATTAGGAAATGGAGATCATTTACAGCTAAAGGAAGGCATATACAAAATGCCTGAGACTTCAGAATGTAAAGGGAAGGGGATAACTCTTGCAGACTTACCGGAACTGGCAAATTACTCTGCCACTGGACCTGAGAAATTGTGCTAGTGTGACCAGAGTAAAGGTTTTAGAAACTGAAAATAATAAAACCTACTTCTTCATTGGTCTCAAAAAGTTGAACTCGTTAGATGCTTAGACACGGCAGAAAGTTGTCTTTTCTTACAAGATAAATTGCTTTGCAGCAGAAAACCT